TATGCTTCCCAGCGGGTGGGTTTTTAATCGGAGCCAGCCTCTTTTTCGAGATGTTACCACTAATTCAAAAGACGCGTCTGGGCTGGGTTGTTTTTGGAGGCTATGGTCTTTCCAATGGCTGGCTTTAATGCCGTCTCAAGATGTACTTCTCGCTAGTAGAGAGAATAGTTTCGATCGGTTAGACTATCTTCTTCGACGATTTTGGGAAGTGGAAAGCTCCGCCGAGCCAATTATACGCGCCACTAAGGAAGAATTGGACTGTGAAGCACATTTCGTGAGACACGTCGTTCGTTTGCCAGCTGGTGATTATTCTGTTCGGCTGCCTGCCAAGTTCAATCTAGATCTTTTGGGAGAGTCCTACCAGCAAGCTTATTGAAGATTCTTGTCCCTAGAGAGAAAGTTGAATCGTCAGCCAGCCTTGAAGGCTCAATACGCAGCATTCATAAAGAAATACCTCGATCTAAGACATATGTCATCAGTTTCTGCCGCTGACATCGGGTTGTGCCGTTACTTCTTGCCTCATCATTGCGTCATAAAGGAAGATAGCTCCACTACAAAGCTTCGCGTAGTTTTTGATGGATTCGCGGCCAGTTCCTCAGGCTATTCTCTCAACGATGTTCTTATGGCAGGCTCTGTTATTCAGCCTAAGCTGTTCCAGATTCTTCTTCGGTTTCGTTCACACCCAGTAGCAATCACAGGAGACATTTGCAATGTGTACCGTTGTGTTAGGGTTCAGCCTGAGGTCAGCCATTTGCAATGCATTTTGTGGAGGGATTCCCCCAGGACCAATTGCGGGTGTTTAAGCTAGACACCGTTATTTATGGCACGAAGTCAGCATCATTTCTGGCAGTGCGAGCTATGCATCAGTTGTCAGCAGACGAGCATACATCATTTCCACTTGGGCCTGAGGTCATTCGACGCGATTTTTATGTGGATGATTTGATATCTGGAGCCAAATCCAAGGAAGAGGCAACATTATGGATCAGCCATCAAAACGTCTAGGCAAGGGAATATTTAAGCTTAGAAAGGGGTGCTCGAATGTGTCAGCTGTTTTGGATGGAGTTGCAGACAAGGATAAGGAGTCTTATTATAAGTTTGATGATGGCACTGATTTTGCAAAAACTCTAGGTCTCGCTTGGGATCCACTTTCTGACCATATATTGATTTTCTTTCCGGCCTTACAGTCAGCATCAAGCCCCTGCAGGCGATCTGTCTTGTCTGCAATAGCGCGAGTTTACGATCCTCTCGGGTTGGTTGGGCTTGTGATCACGAAATCGAATAATGTCCTTCAACAACTGTGCAAGGAGATGTTATCTTGGGATGAAAGAGGTCCTGAGTTACAGAATACAGAATGGAGTGCTTTTTGCACGAGTTTTGGGCAGATTAGGCATGCGTCCCTTCCTCGGCTGGTCATTTCTCCAAACACTGAGAGTGAGATTCATGGATTATGCCAGCATAGAAGCATATGGTGCCTGTGTCTACATCGTTTGCAACGGCCGATCTCAATTACTTTGCTCAAAGTCAAGGGTAGCCCCCATGAAAACACTCACTGAGCCCAAGCTGGAACTGTGTGGGGCGGAACTCCTGTCTAGGCTCAATGCAGAAGTGGCTGGGACGAGTGCATTTGAGGGAAAATATTTCATGGATCCGAGACGACCCGTCCAGATTCAATATTTTTGTAGCGAACCGAGTAGCTGCCATTCAAGAGCTAACTGAGTCAGTGGAGTGGCGATTTGTTCCAACTTCTTTAAATCCAGCTGATATTCTCTCCCGAGGTGCTTTTCCTGCTGAGTTCAACGAATCTCCTCTCTGGGCTCATGGACCAAAATTCCTCTGTGGCCCCAAAGCTGACTGGCCAACCCCAATCACTGCTGAAAAGCCAACGCTTGAGGTTCGCCGGAAGATTCTACTAACAAAATCTCCATACGAAGACATAGTGGCCAGTTCAAAATTTGCCAATTCCTTTGCCAATTCCATCGCCCTACGCTCACGGTGTCTGACCTTCGAGGCGGTACTCTACTGCTGCTTCGTCTTGTCCAGCGCTCACATTTATGGGATGACATCAAATCATTGCAGTCAAAGGGAATGGTGCACTCCTCCAGCTCGCTCGCATCTCTTTCGCCATTCATTGACCAAAGAGTGGATGGCCGGCTAAGGAATTCTTCTCTGGATTTTAATGGGCGTCATCCAATTATATTACCACGGAGTCATACGGTCACTATTGCCATTATTACTCACTTTCATGAACGCAATCTGCACACTGGGCCACGGGCATTACTCGGCATAATTCGATCCCAATATTGGCCTATTGGGGGGAGGAAGACGGTTATGAAGGCGGTAAACAAATGTATTAGATGCTTTCGAATGAAGCCTCGAGTAGTGGAGTATATCATGGCGGATCTTCCAAAGGAGCGACTTGATGGATCCCATGCATTCGAAGTCACTGGCATTGACTTTTGCGGGCCATTTTTCTACAAGTCAGAGGCGCGAAGCAAGCCTCCAGTAAAATGCTACGTTTGCGTCTTCATTTGTTTCGCCACGAAGGCTATTCATTTGGAGTTGATCAAGGATCTCTCTACGGTATCGTTTCTACATGGCCTCAAACGATTTATATGCACTAGAAGAGGGCGGTCTTTGGGAAGCGGCTGTGAAGATCGCAAAGCACCATTTCTACCGCGCTGTTGACACTGCTGTTTTAGCCTTTGAGAAGTTGCGGACCCTGGTGTGTCACATTTCGGCGGTTGTTAATTCTCGACCATGAGTCTCGATTTCAGAAAACCCAGCTGATCTGGATGCATTAACCCCATCACATTTTTTGATTAGTGGTCGGCCTTCCTCTTTCGTCGAGCCGGATGTGATCAGTCTTAACTTCAATCGCTTGGATGGATGGCAACGCGTGGCTTACTTGCAGCAGATCTTTTGGTCCCGATGGAAGGAAGAATACTTAACATTACTGCAGCAGCGTTCCAAGTGGCGCACCCCAAAACCTGGCCTGGTTGTCGATGACTTAGTTCTGGTCAAGGACGAAAACTTGCCTCCCATGAAGTGGCCCCTCGCCAGAGTGATCGAGCTTCTGTTCGGTGAAGATGGGGTTGCTCGAGTTGCCGTTCTGAAGACAGCATCAGGAGTGACAAAGCGAGCAATAAACAAGCTGTGTCTGCTTCCCCTTAAGGATGATGTTGAAACCCAGGCTTCCAAAGGGGGGAGTATGTCGGGTCACGCAGCCGCAGCAGCTAATTAACTTAATTCGATCTCTTATATTAATTGCATCGCGAAAGGTAGCTCTCTCTATCTAGCTCTCTTGTTTTTTGTGTACTTGCATTTTTGGTCCCAGCATTCGGCTGGCTGTCCCTTGTAAAATCAGTACGAATTCTGATCTCGACATTAAATGCACTCTCGTCTCGCCTGCTCGCTAATAAATTGTTAACAAGCATAAAGCAACCTGAAATTCGTATATTTTTTATTTAGCAATAACTAATAAAAAAGCTTATTAGTTCAACAAACCCAAATAAAATAAAAATTAACGGCGAAGTTACTATTATTTTGTGTTTTTAATTAGTGCTTTTAATACCAAAATACAAATAAAAGCAACAAAAACAAACAAATAAGGTGATGAACCCATACGAAGTTCGGGTGCAGCGCCAACGTAAGCAAGACGAGCGTCGGCTCTCGCTGCAAAAGAGCAATGCATATTTCTCTTTCGTATCGACAGCCGAAGCAGCAACAACAAAAGCTTCTGCAGTAGTCGATCCACCGTGATCGTTAACTCCAACACCTTCCAACGAACTCAAGCTTGTTCACAACGAAAGGGCGCGCTCTCTCTATCCGTCTATGACAGTGACGGTTCAAAGCGGGGTAAGCGATAAATGCATTTCCCCTCTTCCTGTACCTGCCTCACCCCAACTGCCAACATGCCTGGCCACGGTTACCAGCACAGTGACATCATTAGCAACTGTAAATGCAATTACAACAACAACAACATAAGTTTCGTCTGTATGCCCGATACAGTCGATCGTTCTACCTTCTGTGCCAGCGGACTTATCAACTGCAGCTAGCTCAGCACCGACAGATGCTTCAATTAAAAAGCAAGGTTCGACCATACAACTGGCATGGATCGCTACATAAACATTAAAAGAAAACTAAGTCCAAAGGACACGAAAATGGGTAAGTCGCAAAAATCAATCGGGCTTCCTCAAGCCAGGGATTGTGGAAAACTCTAATACTGCAAATAGATTTGAACTTTTGGCTGACACGTCCGACGAAATCCCTTCTGCAGTCTTGGATACGGACAAAAAGAAAGCCAGGCCGCCTCTGTTTTATATTCGAGAGAAAAACTCCAACGACCTTGTTAATATAATAAACGATCTGAGACATACATGAAACAAAGGTCCAAGTCAAAAGCAAAGAAAGCTTTAGAAAATTGATGGAGCTCCTAGACGCCAAGAAAAAGAACTACTATACCTACCAGCCAAAAAGTAGTTAAGGTCAACAAGTTGTCATAAAAGGAATCGAACCAGACGCAAGCACTGCTGAAATCGAACAGGCACTAAAAGATAAAGGTCTTAACGTAAAAACCGTTTCAAATATACGTAACCGAAACAAACAACCGCAACCTCCCTTCTCAAGAAAAACGAAGTCCATCCCATCTACAATATCCAGTTTCTTTTGCATCGCAGAAACACGGCTGAAGAGCCGGATAAACGCAATGGCACAGTTCAGTGTGCAAATGGCCAGGAATACGGACGCACCAAATCTTACTGCCCACTCCGCTCTGTATGCGTCGCTTGCGGAGGGTTGCATACCTAAGTGAGAATTAAAAAATGAGACAAATAGCAAAAAATGTAGTAACTGCGTAGGAAGCCACACAGCAAACTACAGAGGCTGTCCAGTATACATGGAGTTAAAAAATCGGATCAACCAAAGAAAGCCAATAGCACGATCTTACCACACACCATTGATACCCTCCAAATCCACACCTAAAGTTTTCTTTTCGTCAGCAGCCCGATCTTCACTCGGCAGTTCCACTATAAATAAAAACGTAAGTTTTGCAAGCGTTGTAAAATCGGGTCATGCGAGCCCTGCGTACAATGTCCAATCAACACCTACAGTCTCTTACCAACCTGCAGAGCACACAGAAAATAAAATGGAAACGATGATACTTAGATTGCAACACAGTATGGATGAATTCATTTCTTTTATGCGAGCGACCATGCAAAGTATGTTGACAAATCAAAATATTTTAATTCAGATGCTCCAAAACACCTTATCAAAATAATCAATGGCTCCTCTGCGCAATGCACTGTGGAATGCCAACGGCGTTTCACGGCACAAACTTGAGCTAGCACAATTTATGAATGACAATGAAATCGACGTAATGTTACTTGCAGAAACCCACCTTACCAACAAATATATGTTTTACAATACCAATAATCCTGATGGAAAGGCCCATGGAGGTACTGGAACCCTGATTAAAAACCGCATCAAGCACCACTTCCACAACACGTTTGCTACTAACTACCTGTAAGCCACTTCTATCAATAAACATTTGGGTTGTCACAATATAGCTCTAGCAACGGTATACTTTCCTCCTCGATTCACGATATCCGAAGCCCAGTTTTTCGACTACTTCAACTCACTTAAATAAATAATACTTTATAGCAGCAGGAGACTATAACGCCAAGCATACGCACTGGGAATCTCGCCTCGTGACGCCGAAAGGTAAACAACTGTTTTACGCAATTATAAAACCTAGCAATAAACTTGACTGCGTTTCCCTTGACGGACTTGATTGACTTCGCGGTTACAAAAAACATCCCACGAAATCTGATTAGCGCCAGTTCTCTCTCGAATCTATCATCAGACCACTCGCCTGTACTCTATAGCCTAAACCAACAGCTAGTTAGTAATGACAACCCCGACATGTTAACCTCTAACAGCATATAGTGGCTCAAATTAAAAAAATACGTAAGTTCTCACATTAAACTTACACCACAGCTAACCGGCGAAGACGACATCAACAGAACCGTAAGCATGCTAGAGTCAGTTTTTGCTCAGTGGCTCGAAGCGCAACCTAACACAAGGCACACGAATGCAGAAATAGAGCAGCTAGTTCTGGCAAAGCGTCGTTCCCGGCGCGAATGGCAACTACTTCGATCGCCATCTGTAAAGCAACAGTTAAATGAAGCTTCCCGCCGACTCACCAAGGCACTACGACAAGAAGAAGACAGATCCCAACAACGCTACATAGAACACCTATCTCCATCCAGCTCAAAAATCTCACTATGGAAAGCCCACTTAACACTGAGCCATCCAACAGTAACGGTTACGCCAATAAGGACCCCTGCAGGCTGTTGGGCCCGAAGCGACAAAGACAGAGCCGACACATTCGCTGCCCACCTTAAAAATGTGTTCCAGCCAAATCCAGCAACAAACGTGCGTAATATAAGATCACAAACTGAAGACGACTTTCCTGTTGCCGAACCAATTGTATTTCGACCATGCGAAGCCACTATGCACTGTTGGTACAATATGCCAGATATTCAACGCGATGACAAGACTGGGCTGCTTCCCAAAGAGGTGGAAAAAAACACACGCTCACCTCCTCACACAGACCGATAAGTTTACTTTCGTATCTATCAAAACTCTTTGAAAAATGCCTTCTAACCCGTATCATACCATACTTCAGAAGACATAATAGTATCCCAGCACATCGGCTTTCGCGAAAAACATGGAACTATCGAACAGGTGAACCGCATAACATCAGAAATTCGAATTGCATTTGAAAACAGGGAATACTGCACGGCGGTATTTTTGGACGTCTCTCAAGCATTCGACAGAGTATGGTTTAAGGGCCAATGCATAAAATCAAAAAAATGCTCCCTTATAGCATGCATAAACTCTTGAAGTCATATCTTTACAACAGGATATTTGTTGTGAGATGCAATACTTCCATGTCAGCTGAGCATAACATCGAAGCTGGAGTTCCTCAAGGCAGCGTTCTCGGGCCAACTTTATACCTACTCTACACTTCTGATATTCCTACGAGCAGACAACTGACTATGTCTACGTTGGCCGACGACACCGCGATCCTCAGCCGATCTAAATGTCCACAACAAGCATCAGCGCAACGTGCGGTCCATCTAGATGTAGTAGAGAAATAACATATCTTGGCGTACATCTCGACAGACGGCTTACCTGGCGCACGCATATTAAAGCTAAACGAACTCACCTTAGGCTGAAGGCAAACAGTCTGATTTGGCTTATAAACTCCCGCTCCACCCTCAGTCTGGACTACAAGGTCCTTCTACAACTCCGTTTTGAAACCAATCTGGACTTATGGCTCTCAGTTGTGAGGAGCGCCAGCAACAGCAGCGTAGAAATCGTGCAGAGAGCCCAAGCAAAGATCCTGAGAACTATCACCGGGGCATCGTGGTACGTTCGAAGTGGAAATATTCAGAGAGACTTGAATATACTCCCCGTTCGAACGTAAGAGCGCAACACATGGAAAATTACTATACAAAGCTGTCAGCCCATCCAAACCACCTCGCTAGAGCATTAACGTTGGTATGTAGCCGTTCCCGCCTTCGTCGTAACGACCGTCTCATCCAGCGACAACTATTAGGCCAGTCTAACATAAATACAGTTTAACAAACTGTTAGAATAATGTAGTACTCTTAGATTCCGTATACCGGGGTATCTGACAAAGTTCTGATTTCACCTACTACCTTGGTTGTGTATGCTAACTTTGTATCGGGATCTGCCAAGAGGATTTTATGGCTTTGTACTAAGGTATTTTTTCTGTTCATCGCTTTCTGTTACTGGCTGAATTTGAAATTGTCTTGGCATCTTGCTATTATTTGCTACATTAGAAACTCCAAGAGTTATTTTCCCTGTATAATCGGTTTTTGCTGTCTTATACATATAATTTATGTGTCGAAAACAAATTGACTGATCAACCTACATAGGTACCGTTTTTGATTGTGATTGTAGGGAGTTCTTAGTACGCTGTATGACGCTACCACCCAGCTTCTTTTTATAAATATGGTTATAGGCCTTGAACTGATTGGTATTAGTGATTGGTGATTTTTTAATTGCGGGTTTTACCTGCGTATGATTTGGATTACGGTAAAGATGTGGATGGAATCTGTGCTTTATGGGTACCGTTCGATAAGCTTTACAGTCCTACTTTACAACCCTTTGGCTGATAACATAGGTGCTTTTCCTAAATACCATGTTTTATGTGTCTGATTATTCCTAGTGTTTTGGTTCTCGAGCAGACTGTAGGGGCGAAATTTCACAAAAAGACGCCTTCGTAGCAGAGTTGCCAGAAGCGGAAAAAATGTATATATAAATTAATCTGTTTGATGGGCGCGGCCTGAGGTGGTCCTCAATGGCCGCACTGTCAAGGGTGGACTTCTTCGATGAGCCCACACGTATGTGCGGGAGAAACAATACTCGATATGTGTGTGGCCAAGGGTGGTCCTCTTCTTTACTGTCAAGGGTGGTCTTCTTCGATGAGCTCGCTTGTAGGCGCGGAGGAAGCGGTCGCTTCTGGGAGCGCCCGTTATAGCTGAGTGGCGGCCAGTTGCCTCCCGTAGGTGCGGGGGGATGCGTTGCACCCACGCGTGAATATGAGCCGCTGGAGGCTGCTGCTTGTAATGGCCTCCCGTGAACGCGGGAGGAATATAGTTGCTGCTGGTCGCACCTGCCGAAGCCCGCTCGGTAGTGCGGGGGGAGGAGGGAGCCTTGACCTGGTTCTCGTGTGTAGAGATCGGGGATCCCTCTTTGGAGTCAGAGCCGGATGGCTGCACCTTCACAATTGCTGATTAGGATGACTTACGTTGGGAGGTAACTGCCCCCTTCGCCTGCTGGCCTAGAGACTCAGTCAGTGCAAAATAATAAGAGATATTTAACGGCGGTTGCCGGAGTTTTGCAATGCTATAGAACTTGTGTTCTTTATTCTTATAGAGCTTGAAGCGAACTAACTTAAAGTTGACAAAATTGAAACTCATAGCGGCCACGCAAATATGCTGTGTTTGCCGGCTATGCACGAGCATCCGGCCAAATGCCGCGTCAGCGGTTTTGGCCGCAGCTGGGCTTCGGACATTCGGTCATCGCCTCCGTCCGGTTAGCTACTTAGTTAACTACTCCCCCCTCAAGATTGAGGCCGCCCTCGGCCGACCCTATTTCATCGATCACCCTTCTTAGTTTTACCGCAGATCTTCTGGCACTGGTGAGTCGCATGTAGGTTAGGCCGACACAAATCAATGCGCAACATATTACTCCTGTAATTAGCGCTACCATGTGTGTCTGATTGGTATTGATTTTATTTCCGAACTTCTGAATGTATTCCAGGTTACGTTCACTCAAGCGGTGAAGGTAGGGGAGGCTCAGAGTATTTTGACTGATGGTGATGTTCAGTGAGGGTGAGCTTGCCACCCCCGGAGTCCTCTTCTGGGCGGAGTTTTGGTTCAAAACCAGGGTTTCGTTTACTGTGACGCGCTCACTAAAGGTGACGAGATGCGTCCCGTGTATCCAGACGCTTGTTCCGTTGTCTACTCGTACCTGCGCTGATTGATCATTGATGATCATAATTCCCTCATCGACATAAGTGATCGGATGTAAATCGCTTGGTTGGGTCTCGCAGTGCGCAACTCCACCTGCATGGAGTTCTCGGGCGCATGTGGTCCTCGCTGATAGTCGGCAGAAAGTGACTCCTGGTGTTGTGGAGCAATTCTGGATCGCATACATTTCCTTATTGCATTCTGCTATTATATTATCCACTAACCTTAGCATCACATTATTATGCGCTACCGGGAACATTGTAATCTTCTTACATGCTAATTTAATTTTTGGGAACTTAATAAGGAAGTGCAATATGTTAACAGACTGGAGAATTTTTACGGACGCTACGGACAAAATATCTTTTATAGGAGTGTCGGTAGGCTCCTCCATCCAAATACTTTCTAGGTCTGCGTGATCTAATATGTTTGGGCTGACTATGTTTACTTTAGCAAGCGAAACTGCCATCATTAAATTTTGAAGTTCCATTGTTAACATTCTGTTTCTGGAGAGCAAGGTTTCATATAGATGGCCAGTGTCCACTTGTGAACTCTTTGCCACTTTTAGGATTTGATTTACGGTTGACGTTAATTCATTAATTTGACTTTGTATTCTAGTATTTATTTCTATTTGTCTATTGTTTGAATTGATCAATTGTGTTTCTGTGAATTTAATTCTCTCTAAATCCCCGGCGTCCGGAGTTCCTGCTACGACTTTTAAAATTGATCCTAAAAAGTCTAAACTCCTTGCTACCCTGTGGTGCACGCCTAACGAGTCGAGCAGGTCGCGAAGGTGAGCTGTGTCCACGTCCAAAAGTTTTTTCATGTGTGACTGGGGAAAC